CCGATCGCTTTCTGTAATAATTGTTTTTCAAAATTTAAAAGCCTTTGGCAGTTACACGACACTTCACGTTTGAAAGAACAATTTTGAAGTGGGAAGAGAATGCCCCACTTGACACAAACCCGAGCTGTTACGTGGTGACTCAACTAGTAATACAGCAATTCTGTCTGATTGTCAGATGTTCCCCTCACGATGTAACAATGTTGAGAGAAATTGTCAGATGGATTGAACTGTGAAACTGTCTACAGGCTTGTCTGCGTAAGTCCCTTTCCTTGATAAAGTGAAATGATCTAAATTTCAGACTTCTTCTATCAGTTTTACAAATACACTCGGTTAGATATTTTGCTGCTCCGCTTTAAGATGCAGATAGATGTAAGCTTGTATAAAAGTGTCAGAGATAATGTTCGATAAGTAATTTGGTTAGTACTGAGCACTACCACTAGTAAGTTAGGTACCGAAGAGCGCTGTTTTACACTGTAAGGAACAGTAAGTGAAACGAACAAAAACCAGATGCCTTTCTCCTTGCAAAACTCAGATCCTAGTTTAAATTTAGATTTTTTGACAAATTCAGAAACGTTTGAATCCTCAATATTTAATCTTCTTTTGCGGTGAAAAAGAAGAAACGAATGCTAAACAAAAAAATTCTCCAGTCAACTGAGCAAAAAGCAATAAATTGCATTTATAATTTACAGTATAGTAAAAAAAAAGTACTTTTCAAACACCGACGTACTTCAATGCCGGTAAAGAAGGAAATGCAGAGAAATCTGCTTATGATGAACACTTACTCTCGCGAAAGTTTAGATTTGGTAACTCAAATCGCTCGTGAAAGAAAGGCAAAAAGGAGCTCATATATAGAAAGCCACGATCTCATTGACGTTCATTAAGTTTTAACAACAAAAAATCAAAATCCGTTAAAAACACCAGTTATTACACAGATTGTCTTTGAGGAAAGAAACAAAAAAAAAGTGCTATGAACAATTTCGTCGGCTGACTTATCCTGTCCAAAGTGTGTTCTAATTAATCTTTTGAACATGTAGACGTTCAAAAGATTGCTTCTGCCAAGCCATTGTTTTGAGGATGCTAAAGGGTGAGAAAATATGCTCAATTCCTTTCCGAACACAGAATGTGCTAAATTTGAATGACTGAAATGGCAGTACGTAACTAAAAACTTTGAAATCCAAAACTGATCAAAAACTCTATTCAACGACTCTATTAGGATATAGCACTTATAGAATTTACGCAAAATACTTCTGGCCGAGTAGACATAGAACCTAAAGAGATCAGATAGTGCTTACCTACGACAGGTCATGTTGGTCAAAAGTGGAGTAAAGTTTTTTGATGAATCTCTCCAGCTGCAAGAAACACAGTTTCCCACGCAGTTCTCAATGTCGTCATCCACCTTGGGACGGTACTGTCCCGCCTCTGAATTCATTTTCTGAATTTTAAGATGACGAGAATGGAAGATCTCTACCACACGCTCTTGTAGTAGTTGAGGTGGAGCGGTAAAACGCGAGTTCTGAAAGACTGAACCATTACTGGAACTTTAGAGCATTTTTGAAAATAAGGAAAGATTTCAGCAACACTTACCTTATTTAGCCACCCCTTCATTATATATTGCTTCATCAACTCCAAGGTTTTATCCTGTGATGTAGCATTTGCCAATCCCACCACAAAAATCGGGAATGACCCAAAGAACTTAGCATATACCTGGTTAACCTAATGCTTTTTAAGAATTTGTGATTTTTCAAAAACGTTATCGAATCTTTTTGGTAGTCTTGGAGGAGCATCTACACACTCGAATTGTTTTGTGGGACGGAATTGAATGCGGTGTGCATAATGCATGAGGAACAAAGCTCATCACTGTGGTCGACTCGCGGCTGACGGGGAGACACCATTCATTGAGCCAAAAATCGCCGCTAGAGGTTGGTGATTGGTAAGCAATGTGGGCTTGCTTCCTCATAAATACCAATGAAAATTCCTTACCCCAGAAACTATACTCAGCGCTCCTCTGACTTTTGTAGGCGTAAGAGACTTTGACACCTTAGCAATAACTTTTTCAGCTCCATTTGCAAAACGGTGAAATAAGATGGCATCTACTTCAACGCCAGGAGCACCTAACTTATATATGTGAACCGCCTACAAGTTTACCACTGTAAGCTCCTCTTCTTGATAAAACGAAGTAACCTAAATTACAATTTCGATCTATCTTCCACAAAAATTTTTTTTCTACAGTAACTGATTTTCAAAATTCTACGACGAATATTTCATTGGAAATATCAGCTTCGTTAACCTGTGTTGCAATAGATCCACCGATAACAACTAAAACTTTACGCCCTGCTGAAATCAGTTTACTTCACGGTGTAGTAACAACGTCAGAATCCTCTTTCCTCCACAAAAAATTATGGTGCAATTTTTTAACCTCTGCTGCTATGGATTCCTGCAGTAAAACATTTTCATACCTCAAAAGCTCTTGGTCATATGACGGCCCACACTTAAAAAAATTTTTAAGCAAAAGGAAATTGACATACTTAACAGAAAACTAGCCATTACATAGAGATTTGGCTAGTTATACAGCAACTCTGCCTAATCATCAAAAATGGCTTCGCTCAAGGGTGTTACAATGTTGAGAAAAATTGTTGGATGAGTTGAACTCTGAAACCGCCCAGAGGTTTATCAGTGTAAGTCTCTTTCTTTGATAAAACAAAATGGACTTCTTGTCTCACTTTTAAAAATACACTCTGTTAGATATTCTACTGTTAAGGTTCACCTCAAAGGTTAGTGAAAATTGTGTTTGCCACAGTGAGCCGGAGAGTCAATTTTTCCTCATGGAAACCTACCGCCTTATTGCTAATTGCTAAACATTTGAGCAGTAAAGTTCTGTTTAATCCTCTTTATTGAAACCACCTCTCTGCTAACAATTTCAGCACTGTAAATGTTTCTTGCAGGCCGACAACTACCAGCGACCAATGGGACTTACTGTAGAAACCCTGCCTAAAACCAGTTTGTAAACGCTGGAGAACAACTGTTCTTGAACCGTACTTTGGGCCTTCAGGATTTTCCCTTCTGTGTATTTCCAGCTCTAGTTCACTAAATTCGTTATAGCCTTCACTGTCTATTGCTAAATACGCGTTTCAAGAAAAAAGCATGTAAAATACTCCACAGAAGAAATAAAACCAACGAAAGAAGAGAGTATAACGGGAAAATAAATGCCTCATAAAGGTTGCTACGTGACTCTTATGACATCACTGCTGAGAAAAAAATTTTAAAAAATTTAAAGTTTGAGATTATCCAAGGAATATCTTTATAGATTTTGCAGCTTTCATGGACCCGCAGACAACGCATTTTACGACCATAACTGAAAACTCCGAACATAGGTCAAATAGCCTGATTCCTCACTCGTTGCTACTGACAAGATTTCGGAGAATAGTGAGAAAGCCCAGCAGAGTTATAACTTATAAACCATGACCAGACAACAGAGGTTTCTGAGTAACTTTCATGTGCTAGCGACAGTCTCTGGCATGCTCATTTTTTGATCCACCCACAATGGAAAGACGTCGACAAAATTACGTCGAGCGGTTGTTCCATATCGAAAGCGGCGGGAAACCGTTGCGCGGGAACAATCGTCATTTGAATTTTTTGTTAGTATCCTTGCAACCTCTTGCTGCTTAATATGGTAAATTGTGCGCTTATATTGGTCTTTGGACCTCTAGAAGTGAAGTTTTTTGTATACTTTTCATTTTAGTTTGTTAACGGATTGGGTAGTTTCCCTGTTCTACCAAAGTTTTTTTCCTTTTTTTTTTTTCTTTTTTTTTTATGTGATGTTTGCTGTGGTCAAAATTTTACGTTTTCTACTCACTCATTACATAGAAATAGTTTTAGAAACTTGACTTTCTTTTTGCTGTGTTACGGGCTGCTTTCTTAGCTTTAAGAAACGTGAGGGAGGGTTGTTGGAAGCGGCAAGTTCACTGACTGTGGAAAAGTAAATGAATTGGAAAGTTTCAGCTCCTTAAAAACAATTAATTTTAGAGCGTTAATTTTGACTTCTGCTAGAATTAAGTCAGTAGGCTAGGTGAGTTCTGTCTGATTACTTACTCTTTTCTTTTTTGGAAGTGAGAAAATTATTGTTTTTTTTATCTAAGTCGATAACCGTATTTAACAGTGAACTGTGTGTGGTCTCTCATTTAGATGAAAAAATTACACTTTGTTTTTCCCCTTTATACAAATATGTGGCTGGAATATGACAGCAGCTTGTTTAACGACATCGTGACTTTCTGTGAAATACTTTAATTCAGCTGTCATTTTCCAGAGCAGAATTGGTGCATACAATTATAATGGCTGATGTAAAAAGGACTGGAGGGAGTGGAAAGCGGAAAAATGTGCAGGTGGCCGTGCGAGTAAGGTTAGTTAAGGTTTTAAGCTTTGAATTTCTGCCGGTCATATCAGATGTAGTGTTTCTAACTACGAGCAAGTAATGGGATGTAATTTACTCATACAGTGAATTCTATATTTCTTCTCATTTAGGCCCATGAATGAAAGAGAGAAATTTGAGGGTTCTAGAGTAGCTGTAACAGCAAATACTGTTACAGGATATATTCATGTACGTGAAAGGAATTCGCGCAAAGATTTTGGACCATTTGATAAGGTGAACCAGATAATTTATGAGTTCTTACTCTCAATTTATTTGTTCATTCTTATGCCAATGTAATGAGAATTATTTATTTAATTGTAGGTTTATGATACCAGCTGCAGGCAACACGACATTTACACAGCGCTTGTGAAACCTTTAATACCTCAGCTTCTTCTCGGTTACAATGCCACAATTTTTGCGTATGTTGCCACGCATTCGTTTTAAATTTTCAGCCTTTATCTCTAATCCTCTCTCGCAGCTTTCTTCAGTTACGGTCAAACTGGTACAGGAAAAACTTTCACAATGGCGGGTGAGCCAGATCCAAGCCACAGCGGAGGTTGGCAAGACGACCCTGGTATGGGAATCATACCTCGAGCCTTGCAACAACTTTTCGAGGAACTTGAAGCCCAAGTATTTTTCTCACAAAATCTTAAGTCAGATCTTACCTTCAAGCAAGTGTTATATATAACCAACTCCTTTCCAGGAGGCTGAAGAATACTCAGTGCGTGCTTCTTACGTTGAACTGTACAATGAAGAGCTCTTCGATCTTTTGGCTAGGCCAGGGTCGGAAAACCAACGTCTACGGATTTTTGACGATAATACTCGCAAAGTATAGTTTCTGTTCAAATTGTTCCCGTCGTCACTCAATATCCTGTACTGCTTAAAATTCTTTTTCATAGAACTTGTAAATTTTCCAGGGTTCAGTTATAATCAGTGGCGTAGAAGACATATCAGTACAGAGTAGTGAAGATGTCTATGAAATCCTTCGGAAAGGAGCTGAAAAGCGTAAAACAGCAGCAACGCTAATGAATATGACTTCAAGGTTATTATTTTTATTTAGTCTAATTCCTAAACCTTTAGCTAAATTTGAATTATCAAAACTTGAATGAGGAGTAGTTAAATAGTGAATATGTTGTGGTGTAGTTTGAAACTTCACCTGAAGAATTAACAGTGAAAGATTTTATTGGGTATGTTATGGTATCATAGGTGCTACGCTGGTGGCAGCTACTATTATTTGTTAGGAGTTCCCTAGAATGGCATAACTCTCGCTCTTTAAAATAGGCAGTAGACTTATGACAGTAAATTTTTCTGGGGAAAATTTAAAGACTTCACATTTTCGAAAAATCAAAAAGTTTTTTTTACATGTTTTCCTTTTCGAGGCCTGCTACGCGCTACACCTTCTTTTAAAAAACTTGATTTTTTGGCAACACATTCTGCTTTTTCTGGGACTTCAACTAAATTAGTTTATTACTGTATTAGTAAAGAGACTTCTAGTCCTTATAACTAAGTCTTTTTAGTCGGTCACATTCAGTTTTCACTGTAACTGTTGTTACTCGAGAAGGAAAACTTCCCGGAGAAGACTTGATGAAAACTGGAAAGCTCCATCTAGTGGACCTGGCAGGATCAGAAAACATTGGTCGATCTGGTGCCATAGAACAGCGAGCCCGAGAGGCTGGAAACATTAACCAGTCGCTGCTTACTTTGGGAAGGGTGATTACTGCGTTGACATCGGGAGCTGCTCATGTGCCTTATAGAGAAAGCAAACTTACTCGGATTCTACAAGATTCTCTTGGTGGAAGGACTATTACTACAATAATAGCGACCTTGTCCCCGTCATCAACGAATACTGAGGTTTTTATTCTACCTTTTAGTTTTGGTAAAAATTACTTTGAGACCCAACATATATTCTTTATTAGATAAGTCTCGAGGTCAGTTTTCGCTGGTTTAATTTTCTTATTTTATTTTTATAGGAATCAATAAATACTTTGGAGTATGCTTCCAGAGCGAAGAACATTAAAAATCATCCAGAGGCAAATCAAACTTTGTCTCGTCGGGCTCTCCTAAAAGCTTATAACGACGAAGTGGAGCGGCTGAAGCGAGATCTTCAGGCTGCGCGAGAGAAGAACGGCGTTTTTATTGATAGGGATAACTTTGAGTACGTCTGTTAATATTGTGTCTTGACATTTTTCACTCTTAGCTTGTTAGCTGATGGTGATATTTTTTGAGGAAGATGCAGGAGGAGTTGAATGCACAAAGAGATCAAATTGAAGAGTTTACCGACAGAATCCAGGCGTATGTTTCGCAGATAGAAAAAGTAGATTTTACGCTTATTTTTAATCTGTCGTTCATTTTGAATACTTTTTCTGCTTCTAGTTGATGAATGATGTCGCTATCATGGATGAGCAATACAGTAGACTGTATGAACGCAGTTCAAAGCTTGAAGCAAAATTGAAAGCTCGCTTAAGCGAGATAGAGCAGTTGAACTTAGTAAGCAATTTTTTTTTTCTCTTCTTATTTTAGGCTTGATTTTAGTGCTTGTGTCTTTCTTTCAGAAGCTAGCTGAAACTGAGTCAAATCGCGACAAGTGGAAGCGTGCCGCTGAAGAGGTTCAAGAAGGTTTTTATGAGCTTCAGAAGCAACATTGTAATGTTAGTTTTCTTCCTTCAAACTTACGTAGTATTGTCTGTTTTTAGTATGTTTTCTACTGTTAGTGGTTTGTATTATATCAAGCATTGAGCCATTAGAAGTTTTCTTTAAGCTCCAATTCTTGGCTTTGTATTTCCAATATTTCTTCAGCTCACCCAGACCTCCTTGGAGTTATCGAGCGATCTTACTGAATGCCACAGAAAAATAGAGTACCTCACCAATATCTTGGCGAGAAATGATGCATGTTTGAGAAGTTTTGAAGAAAGGCACTTGGAGATGTCAGGAAGAATATCTCACAATACAGGAACTTGGAAGGAAGATGTGTCGACGGGTTCTGAAAAAATTGTAGATCAGTGTGGTTAGGATACTTTGATTTTTTTTTTAAAAATGTACTCTCCTCATTCGAGAAAAGCAGAGGAAGGATTGTCGTTGCGCTTTTGCGGTTGCTTATGTACAACAAGTTGTAGGTAATTTACGTAATGTAACCGAGAAACGTGTTTCTGAAATGAAAACGTTTCTACAAAAAATTAACGCGGATTTCGAACGATGGTGTTCTTCCCAAATTAGTGCAGTAGAGGATTCACGGAAAAAGCTGGTACAATTGACCAATGAGCAGTCGACATCAATGACTTCCATACTTGTACAGTTTGTTCAACTTTTTATTAATTCTCCTTACCCGTAAGCTTTGTCGATAGTATCCTGTGTATCATTGCACTTTCAGGATGCTGCTAACAGTATATTGTCGGAATTCTATGAGAAATTTGTTCATTGCTCAGAAAATTTAAAGATTTCGATATCAGCAGCGTCTGAGCAGCATTCTCAGTTAATAAATTCTTTTGCAGATTTCGTGAGTCTTTTATTTAAAGGATTTTTTTAATAAATAGTTTTTTTATTTTTTTTTCGCACTTATTAAAGTAATGGTTTTTTTCTTCTGGTAAAATTTCTTTTGTTTATCATTTCTTTGTTGGCATTTTATCCTACTTATTATTTTTCCTTTTAGGTCAAGCAACGTCAGATTGCTGAAATAGAAGCAGATAATAAGCGAAAGGAGTTGCTTGAAGAGCATGACAAATTAGTGGACAATTTTGAAGCTTATGTAATGTTGTTGTGGCTTTCTGTCTTTTACTTTTAAGTATGCTTGCACCCTGCTATCAACGCTTCTTAATCAAAATTTCACTGAAAAATAATTTTTTTTAAATTAAGCTGTTCTTTTAGGTCGTCAAATTGTTGAAAGACTTTGTCAGTAGTTCAAAAGATTTTAAACTGAAGTACACCGATGCTGAAGCTAGAAACTTATCCAGTTTTGAGAACGCAACGGCAGTAGTAAATAAGACTTTAACAGATGGGTCAGAGGCAGTCAATTCGTTACTTCTTCAGTCGAAGGAAGGTACCACTTATATTAGAGAACATGTAAGTTCTCTGATGGAGTCTGTAAATAAGGTAAGACCTGTTCATTTTCATAATCTGATTACTGTGGCACAAGTAACAGTTAATTTACCTCTTTACAGTGTTTTATTTGTAAAATTTTTTTCAGAAGATCTCAGAAGCATCGGTTAAATCGTCTTTATGGGCTAAAATTACGAAAGAGGAGGGCGAAGGATTTTCTAAAAAATTTGTCCCAGCGATATCTAAGGTAACAGTTCGCTGTTCTATTGGACCTGTACGGTTCCCCTGTAAGCACCCTTAAAGCTGTAACTTTAAAATGAAGGTGGTGTTAAGAAATCATAGGGTGAATTCTTTTGCTGGATCGTTTCTTTAATTCCACATTTAAGTTTTTTAGCAATCAGAGGAGTCTACCTCAAATTGTTCTGAGATGTGTGTGATTCTGGATGAACTAGCTTCATCAGTTGAAGGATCGTTACACGAAACTTCGGAAACAGCTTCTGCAGTTGTGGGTCCTTTAGCAAATCATTCTTTACGGTAATGTCGTATAAACTTCAGAATTTTGTTTGCATGTTGAAGTTCCAGGACATTTCGAACGAAAAGGCATTTTTGGAAGTCAATAATAAGATTGAAAGCTCTTCTTCGCTTGTAAAGTCTTTGGTCAGTGACGAAATCGAACGTCCGGTTTCAACTGGTTTGTTTATACGTTTTCTAAAGACTGTTCTCATACCTTCAGTATCTGAAACTCCAATTCTTCGCTTAAAGGTGCAACTCCGAAGCCAAAGCGGTACAGTATTCCAGCGGCAACGGTCGAGATCTGTGATGTTGGAGAGATGGTTTCTGCTTGGGAAAACGAGGATCCTCCTAGAAGGCAGAGCTTTTACCGGGTAAGTTGCAGTTTTTGACAGTGAAAGACACTGCGTTTATGGTTGACTATTAAATCGAGAAATTTCTGTTTGGTTTTTTTTAGTGAAAAGGAAAAACTCCTTTTCTAAGTTCTCAAAAAGTGTATTCTAGAGAAGAGAATCGATATTGGAAAACCCTTTTGTTGTTTTGTCACCTCAAACTTTGAAGGGGTCTTTGAAAGCGATTGCTGAGGAGGATTCTGAAGAATCTGAGAAGTCTTTGGTGAGATTTTAAGGTTTCATTGTTTCGTATTATGATATTGATTTCTGTTTGACTTTAGTTTCCTTCACTGGTATTTGCTTTATAAATCTTGCAGGAACCTCAGTTACCACATGACTTCCCAGCTGTTAGTTCTCGCCGACGTCGTGCTCTGGCAGATTATAACGCATAAACTAGCTACAAAGTAGCCAAAAACTCATGAAAGGTCTAACTGATCGAAAGCTCTTAGTGACCTTAGATGGGTGTTGATCATTTGCACAGTCGTTAATATTTTTGTTGAACAGTACGTTGAATTATCTTTGTAGATTTACAGTAGAAGTTAATGTTTTTCAGGTCGGACATTTGATGTGGGTGACGCGTCAAATATTTTTCTCTTCACAGATTTTATTGTTACTTTTTTTTTGGTTTTTATGTTGTACGTGTGTCACCTTTTTTCTTGCTAAATTTTGTTATTATTTTTGTGTATAATCAGTTATAGTTGTCACTGAGCCTTTCGGATTACTGTTGTATAAATCAGTGACGATAAGTTCACTTTTTTTAATAATAAACTTACTGTAGCTTGTTTAAGCACTTCATATAATGTTGGCTTTTTTGATCAGCTGGTTGTAATTTGTAGGACTCACTACGGAGATGGGATGTTTGCCATAAATTATGGATTAATAAACCTTTTTCAATTAGGTAATAACATTCACTGAAGCACTGCTCCCAAAACTCACTGTGATTCACTTGAACGTACTTAGGTGATTGTCTTGTCATAAAGGTCTCTCGTTCTCACGGAACCTTACAGGAAAGGAACGGCAAATAAGACTTTTACAGTCTCAAACGTCTAGAGTTGGGTAGAGGGACCTTTCTAACTTTCAAAGTTTGAGGCTTAAAAAGTTCTCTTTTTGTCTACAAATATAATTTCCTCAACGTTGTTTTTTGGACGCTGAATTTATTCCATTCAAAAGGAGAGGGTGCATTTATCAGAGAATCCAGAGGCAGTTAGGATATTTGTTTCACGGCAGAAATCTTCCCTCACTCCCTACTTCGCCTTTTCCACCTTCGTATTCGGGAGAGGCACATACCATCCTTCCAAGGTGAAGACAGAATCGATTAGATGGGCATTTTGATTCTGTTTTTGCTAAAATTTTTTTGGTTTGTCAATTATTCCTCATTGTTGAAGAAGACCCATCTGTGCAGATGTATTTGCTAAAAGCGACTTTTTAGCAGTCACTACGGCTCTTTTTATTGGCGATTTATCGCCATTCCACCATTAACGTCAACATCAGGTTCAAGTATTCAAGTAATTGAATATTTGGGCAGATAACTGAAACTTTTCCAAAGGCGGCTGTGGTGAGTCAGTTCAAGAAGTACTTAAGAGTAACAGTGAGGACGGTAACGACCGCACAATTTTGACAGGAAACATAGGGCGAACATTTAATTCAATCTATAACATTTAAAGCTATGACAAGCAAATTTTAAAAAAGCACTTGAATGGATAAGACAAAAGCTAACACACTAGTTTTCTTCTGCCACTGTATATGGAAAGAAAATTTCATTTTTTTTTAAGGTCAACAAATACGAGTACTAATGGGAATCCATTGCAATATTTAGGCTGGCAAAATATGAATCGCGTATTTTAGTTTCCTTTATGACTTGCCTTTTTCTGTATTATTTATCTTTTTTTTCGTTTGCTTTAATTCATATTTTATGTACAGCCGTAACAGCACCACATAAAATTATTTTTAACAAAAGGGGTCAAAAAAATAAATCAAGTTAAGCTAAAAAAAGAAAGAGCTCGTTGTATTTGCCCTAAACATCGTGTTAGTAGTATATAAACTGTTTTTCATTTAAGGAGAAAAAAAAAAGAGGAAGAAAAGTTACAGGCAAATAGATTTTTGCACTTATTTGGTAGATCAGCAGTATCACCCGATCAGCGATCACTGAGTAAGCAGCAATGAATGCGCAGTTTTTTCACAGCATACTCTATAAACCGTCATTCTTATCGAACCGGCAACGATGATTTCTTGCAACATTTTGGCCATTAAAGCAAAATGGTTTAAATGAGTCAGATTGGTTAGGGCAAAACTGTGATTACGGGAGGAATAATCAATGTTTATTGTCAAAAATTTGACTGTGCTTTGTAAAATTTGTTTTTAAATAGCATTCATTTTTGAGCACCAATCATTGTTACCGGATTTGTATTATTGCGCTTGAGGTTGTTGAGACAGCAGGATGACAGATGGTTATAACGCCAACTTCAGACCTCTGAAGTACAACGATATGCTCATGAGCAGTAAGAACTGATTACTGACTTTATTTGTCTGATCTTTTTTTTTCTACCGACCAAACTTCAGGAATCGGAAATGAGACTACCTCTGCCA